AGGTTATTCCATGTAACCCACTGGGAACTTTCTGACTGGATCTAGCTTTCAGGAATATTTATTCTATCCAACCTCATGATTTAATTAGTTTTCTAGCTGGGTAAAATAAATGTTCAAAAAATGTTCTTAAGCATCTCATATTAAAATAGTTTTTTTTAAAAACAATCTTTAAAAATATGTTTTTATTGATTTCAGAGAAAGGAAGGGAGAGAGATAGAAACATCAACAATGAGAGAGAATCATCAATTGGCTGCCTTCTGCACTCATCTTACTAGGGATCAAGCCTGAAAACTCCAGTATGTGCCCTGGGTTGATATTGAACCACTGTTGGATTTTCTTTTAAAACTATATTAATAGCCTGGCCAGTGTTGCTCAGTGGTTGAGCACCAAGCTATGAACCAGGAGATCACGGTTTGAGTTCCGGTGAGGACACATGCCTGGATTGCAAGCTCGATTTGGGATCTACTAACGTACCTAGGAACCAAAGAGTACTCAGTCAATATACCTAGCAAAGTAATTTCTCCCTGAAAATTCTCATTGTGATGGAGAACTAACACAAATGTCTGAACTTATTTTGCAGCAAGATCCTGCTGTGTTTTTTTTAAAACCTTTTCCCTTAAGCATATAATCCAGCCCTGTTCTGGCTACCAAGTGAGGCAGAATAGCTCTTTGTAGAAATAGAAAACAAGTAGGAAGAAAAGTTTCAAATTTATTTTTCATGGGAGATTAAATAAAAATCTTATTTTAAGCAAAAATCTGATTTAATTTATGCTCATTTGATAGATCCATTCATTCATTCAAATAATTATCAAGTACCTACAATTTCAGACATTGTTTTATGTATTAAAGATATAGTAGCAAATAAAACAACAAAAAATACCTGCCTTACAAGACTTGTGTTTGAGAGAGGTCCCCAAAAAGTTGAATATTTTATGGCCACAGTCTTGGGATAAGCTATAATCAAGTTCTGAGCTCCTCCATTTTCTCCTCCTACTCTAAGTATGGAACCAAGCAGAACCTGTTAATCCCCACGCTCACTCCTCTACCACATAATCGATGGGGAGATTTACCCAGGAGGCTCTTTAGGCATTATCATCAATGTCATGTCCATGCCTTGATTCCCAAATAGCTCTCTGTTTTTTTTTTTGTTTTGTTTTTTCCAAGAGCCATCCTCTGCCTATTAGCCATCTTCAGCTTGAATGCTCTGCTAATATTTCAAACTTAAGATGTCTACATTTGCCCTAGCTGTTTTTGCTTAGTGGATAGAGCGTTGGCCTGTGGACTGAAGGATCCCAGATTTGATTCCAGTTAAGGGCACATGCCCGGGTTATGGGCTGGATCCCCAGCAGGGGGTGTGCAAGAGGCAGCCAATCAATGATTCTCTCTCATCATTGATGTTTCTATCTCCCTTTCCCTTCCTCTTCGAAGTCAATAAAAAATATATATATTTTTTTCTAAAAGATGCCTAAATTCAACTCCAAATAAGTTTCTCCCACAACTTTCCCATTTCTAGACATCGTATCACCACCCTTCTAATTATCCAGGCTTAAAACCTCAGAAACGGCTCTGACTCATCCTTCTCCCCTCAACACTGACATACATGTGGGCTGCTAATTCTGGTAGGTTATATCCCTGTATCACTTTTCTATTACAGGCCATCAACGGCCCCTTTACTTCTCAAGGGAGCTCATTGTCTTCTGATTGATTTGCATGCTGGCTGCCAGGCTATTACTACCCTCTGCGTCAAAAGATTTCTAAAGCGAAGTTTTGATCATATCATTCCTCTGTTCCAAAACCTTTAGTACTTAATCCTTACCACAGCCCAGCATTCCAGGAGCTCCATTAAATGGCTCCAACCTACTTTCCTAGCCTGTCTCCTTAATCACACCATACATTTTAGCAGAATGGAACTAGATAATTTGCTGTTCCTTATATTTCCCTTTTTGCTTGAAATAACTTTCATTTCCACTTGATTCTCGTAAGAGCATTTCAAATACAGCTTTGTTCATGAAACTCTTTGTCATGCTTAGACTGGATGTCTCCTTTTTCCAACCCCTTATGATGCTAGTTGGTGATTTGGAAACCTTATCAGTTCTGCCTTCAGTTGTAATTATCTGGCTCCTTGGCTTGTCTGCTTGTCAGTTCTTTGAGGACAAAGGCCCTACTTACCCTGGTATCCCCAGGACATACTTTCACATAGTAGGTCCTCAGATTTATTGAGTCAAAGATGCTGAAAGGCGGGGCTGGTGCGGCCAGGCCCGGAGCAGCGGCTGCCAGGCTGGGAGCGGCCAGGCCCGGGGGAGCAGGTGGGTCGGGTGCGGCCAGGCCTGGAGCAGCAGCTGCCAGGCTGGGAGCGGCCAGGCCCGGAGCAGCAGCAGCCAAGTCCAGAGCAACTAGGTCGGGAGCGGCAGTGACCAGACCCGGAGCAGCTGGTTGTGGAATGAACCAGAGCAACAGAGGCCAGGCCCTGAGCAGCCAGGCCCGGAATAGCTCGCTCCTTGCCTGCCCCTGCCCCACGGCTGCTTCTCAGACATGGCTGGAAACTTTCATGGGAACTTGAGGGTCTGCTGAATCAAGTGATGAAGGCTTAGATCTGGATGTGTTGAGTTAGTATAGGGCTGGGGTGTTGATCTGTGAGTGCCTTGGGTGGGGCCTGGATGAGGCTAGTGGACCTACTGGGAAATGTCTTTTGTGTGAAGTGTATCATTGGGCATGTGGAGGTATTATTGATATGAGAAAATGCTAAGTAACTGATTTACTATCTGAAAAGGGATTTACTATTGGGAAAATTGAGGGAAGAAGTGACTGAACATAAACTGCACCTATGGATGAGGACAATGGGGGATGGGGAGGGGGCAGAGGGTGGGGTGGGAACCTGGTGGAGGGGGGAAGAAATGAGGAACCTTTGTAATAATATGAACAATAAAGATTGATTAAAAAAAAAAAAAAAAAAAAAAAAAAAGGATAAATATAGTCCACGTCATAAAAAAAAACAAACAAAAAAAAAAACAAAGATGCTGAAAAACATATTCACTGTCACCTTTAAAGTAAAGTTAATATCTTTCAATCTTTCTCAAGGAGAGATTTCATTTTATTCAAAACTTGAAGCAAATTAGTATAAAAAAAATCATACTGCTTTCAATCCCTAAAGACAGTTATAAGTAAAAAAAAAAAAATAGCCTAAGAAAACAACCCTAGTGATGGAATATAAGACATGAGACCACAAACTAAACATAGTGTAAAGGTTTAACAGACACTAGAAATCCATTTACCCACAGTGCACAGGGCAGAAATAAATCTACCCAGCAAGGATTCAGAATCCTGCTGGGAAGGAGGTGTAAAATTTGCATTAATATGGGGAATTTCAATCCCTCAGCAGCCATGGGATTCTATAAATTCTGCAAAGCAGGGAGGGGAGAAAATCAGAGATCTTTAGATTAAACTCTTCAAAAATCAAGCTTATCATCTTTCAGATGCAATTTCCTAATTATGTGCACTAGTTTAATGACATTTCAGTTAAAAGTGTAAATGACACCGAAACTGGTTTGGCTCAGTGGATAGAGCGTTGGCCTGCAGACTCAAGGGTCCCGGGTTCAATTCCGGTCAAGGGCATGTACCCTGGTTGCGGGCACATGCCCAGTAGAGGGTGTGCAAGAGGCAGCTGATCAATGATTCTCTGTCACTGATGTTTCTAACTCTCTATCCCTCTCTCTTCCTCTGTAAAAAATCAACAAAAAAATATTTTTTTAAAAAGGAAGAAAAGAAGGAAGGAAGGAAGGAAGGAAGGAAGGAAGGAAGGAAGGAAGGAAGGAAGGAAGGAAGGAAGGAAGGAAGGAGGCAGAGAGGTCAATAGTATTGTTAACAGAATTCAACCAAATTGCAATTCTTAGCCAACTACTTTGATCAAAACATGTAACTATGGATCCAATTAGGGTACAGAGTTTGCTAAACACCATCTTTTTTTCTTACCTACAATCTACTACATAATTTCTCCCTTTATAAATTTTTTCCTTAACCACCAAGGCACACATTTGCCAAGATTATGGAATTATTGGTGAGTCTATTTATATTTTATATGTACTTCACTGTACATATGTGTGTATTATTTCTATATGCGATTTTTAACCTATGTTCTTACACATTTGCATCTGTGAGATGGTAAGTGTGGTTGTTATTTTACTGTAAAAGCATCTGTGAATATAAAATAGTGAAGTTAGGAGGGGAAACAAACTAATTTGATAGGTGATAATGATTATGTGTGTGTGTGTGTGTGCAAGCACACATGTATAAACAAGTATATGTTTACTTATTTATTATTCTGTAATTTGCCTACTGGGATCCTCATTTTTCTCTTAGCAATATATTGTGATATAAAAATAATCATTATACTCACTTTCCAATCAGATTCTCCTTTCTTTAAATGTTATTAAATTGTTGTATATGTGCTTGCCTCCTCTGTCTTTAGCTAAGAGAAGCCTCTCATCCAGACCACTAGTTTCCCAAACCATGAACATTGAAAGAGAGATGACATGGCCTTCTGTGAAGTGGCCTAAAGCAAGGCTGAGTCTTCATGCATAATTCTAGAGTTAGCCTTGGTACAAGGATAGAAGTGGAGTGGAGGTGCCAGTTCATTCCCAAGTCACAGCTGGAAGTCCAAATTACCCAACCTTCCTAATCAGCAAGGAAAAACCAGCATTGGCAAGAGCTGCACACTGGAGTGTTGATAAAACCCAAAGTGGGCTAACCTGTACATCCTGTAGGTCCTTTCAGCCAACAGATTTGACAGGACCAGATTCTCTAGAGTGGATGCTTACTGTAAGGCACCTGGCCATTACACAAACTCTGAGGGACGCTAGAATGCCACACCATACCAGTGAAAATTGGCCAGGCCTTTGTTTTTAATTTCAATATGTACACCTAAGTAGAGAAGCTGAAGAATTTGGGTGTTAACTTTAGCCACAAGTAAAGGGAATGTCTGAAACAATGAAGGTCCAACACACCTGATTTCGTAGAGGCTGCTGTGATGGCCGATCCCTGTGTGTGTGGCTTTCTCGAGTTATTGCAGATGCACCAGAATCTACATGAACTGACCCTACTGGAGTAGGCTGGAAAAATATAACACAAAGTCAAATGGAGAAAACAGGTCCAACTTAATGCCTCTGCAAAGGACAGCATCATTCAAATTCTACTAGAATAGTAGTAATTATTATTTTCAGCCACCAAGGGCAGTTTCAAGGTCTTCTTGTCTTCTCTGTTTGCTTATCTGCAAAAGGGATGCAGCTTGGTCCTCAACACTTCATTGAAGAGTAGCTTACCTTTGAAAATAAAAAAACATCCTGCAGTGATGTCTGTTAGCATGCTCTATGCCCTGTGGCCCCTGGCAAGAAGAGCAAATTCAGAAGTGTCCTATGGTACTAAGTTACAATCCTACAGAAGTCAAACACCTTAACATCTTATGTAGCACCATTTTTTTGTATCATTCAAATGAAAATTCTTTTTAAAAACTGGCTGCGGACTGAAGGGACCTGGGCTCAATTTTGGTCAAAGGCACATGCCCGGGTTGTGGGCTCAAACCCCAGTAGGGGGCGTGCAGGAGGCAGGTGATTCTCGTTCATCATTTTCTCTCCTTTCCTCTCTGAAATCAATAAAAATACATTAAAAAAAAAAAAAAAAAAAAAAAACTAGCTTAACTTTCTGGTCTCTTCTGACATACTGGTCATAATCTTAAAAACATGTAAAGGAAGTTACTCCCACTTCCTAACTCTAGTAAGAGCAATCTATAAGCATCATCCTGAAAATGTTGATAACTGTAGTCTTCAGTCAAAGAATGCTTCCCCCCATAGATTTAAGCAGAAAGTCTGGCAAGGAAAGGAATGAAGTAGTGCTGGCCTGAGGTGAGGAGGTAGATAAAAAGGATACTCACAATAGGCCTCCCGACCCAATCGTAGGCGTAGTCAAAGGTATAACCTTTCCTTTCAAAGAGGTCTGTGAAGAGGGTCCGTAAATATTCATAGTCAGGTTTTTCAAAGAAGTCTAATCGCCTGACATACCGCAGGTAGGTTGCCATCTCCTCTGTTAGGAAAGAGGTGAAAGGCCATGCTCATTAACTGAATGCTTTGCATGGGCAGAAGCTCTAGGCCAAGCAAGGAATATTGTACAGGCTGTTTGACATGGTATTTTCTTTATGTACCAAATGAAAGTGACATAACCTATCTTGGGCTAACTAACAATAAAAGAAACTAAGTTTTCTGGGGAGCACCTTTATCTAGAGATCCCAAGTCATAATCTTCATCTATTTGAAAGCTTTATTCACATTCACTGGAGTGTCCTTTTAGCATCTCACCTGGAAAGTTTTCACAGAGTGCTTCAATGGGAGTATTCCTTTTGGTGTCACCAATTTTTTGATATCTCTCTTTTAATGTATCAGCCTGTAGAGAGTAAATAAAGTTATTTGGAAAGAGGTCCAGTATGTTTGGGAACAGAATGGTTGTTTCACTTAAACTGGTAGGATTTATTAGGTGTTTTTCGTAATAATTTTTCTAACATTAATAAGAAATGTAATAGAGATGATTTATTTATTTTTTTATTATTTTTAAAATATATTTTATTGATTTTTTACAGAGAGGAAGAGAGAAGGATAGAGAGCTAGAAACATCGATGAGAGAGAACAATCGATCAGCTGCCTCTTGCACACCCCCTACTGGGAATGTGCCCGGCAACCAAGGTACATGCCCCTGACCGGAATTGAACCCGGGACCCTTCAGTCCACAGGCCGACGCTCTATCCACTGAGCCAAACTGGTTTTGGCAGAGATGATGTATTTAAATATGTACATAACTTCTGCTGTGTTCTAGAACATTTACTGGAAAATATATTTAGTAGTCTCAGATAAACACCATCAATGAGACAAGTGGCCAGAATAAGAAAATTAAAATATCATGTAGCAATATTTTCAGAATTGCAGAAGCTTAGTAATCTCCCATGGTCACTGGGGATCAAAAGCAATTTAGCCTTGCCATGGCTGGCATGGCTCAATTGGTTGGAGTGTCATCCCATACATTAAAAGGTGATGGATTCGGTTCCTGGTCAGGGCACATGACCAGATTGTGGGTTCGATCCATGTCAGGAAGCAACCAGTAGATGTTTTTCTCTCTCCCTATTTCTCTCTGGAATTAATTTTTTTAAAAATGATTCCGTATCCCCCTCCTTAGATCAACTCTATGATAAGATTAAAAATAATGTCTTCCTACAGTGAGGTTCCAGAGGGAAAAAATGTTAACTATGATAGGCATGGCTAACAGATAGGTTTGATATATGTCAGTGGCTCAAAGCAGACAAGTCTGGTTCCTCAGGACTATAGACAGAGAGCTCCTGGAGCTTGGACCAATAATGTGGTCTCAAGGCAGTCTCCTGAGGCTCTACCTAGCCTGCTGTACCCAGCTTGAAGCAATAATGTTCTAAAGTAAATTGGAGAAATTCTAGATCTATAACTATCACTAAAATGATTCATGGGCTGAGAGAAAGTTTCAAGAAGCAATTAATAAAACACATATATGAATGCATTTTTGGCTATACAATGAGCAAATAAGACGTGAAACTATTTTGACAACTGTCAATATTAATGAGAAGATATATTTGACTAGAAGACCATGGAGGAGATGTTAAAGAGAGGAAGTTAAGGGAAAAGAAATATCTTCCCACAGGGAAGGGGTAGAAACCTTACTTTTCAGGACCATGTTCTAGGACACAGCAAAGTCCACCTTTCTGCCCTTTGGAGTGGTGAGGTATCCAAAGCTACTGATTAAGTTTCTTTCCATACTAACATGTTAATATAACTTTTTTTACAAATATATTTTTTATTGATTTCAGAGAGGAAGGGAAAGGTAGAGAGAGCTAGAAATATCAACGATGAGAGAGAATCATCAATCAGCAGCCTCCTGCACACTCCCTGATGGGGATCGAGCCTGCAACCCAGGCATGTGCCCTTGACAGTAATAGAACCCGGGACCTTTCAGTCTGCAGGTCAATGCTCTATCCTCTGAGCCAAACCAGCTAGGGCCATGCTGATATAATTTACAGCTCAAAAATATGTCTCACATTTAATTAATGGAACTTAGCCTGGGTTAGAAGCTTAGCATTTTCTAGTCTACAGCAAAAGGCACAGAGTCATTTAATGGTAATATTTATAATTAATTACAGGCCCGATGCATGAAATTCATGCAAGAGTAGACCTTCCTTCTCCTGGCTGCCAGCACCGGCTTCCCTCTGGCACCTGGGCTTCGTCTGGAAGGACATCTGATCTAATTAGCATATTATGTTTTTATTATTATAATTAACTCTAATAGAAATGTACTATACTGACACCTAACAATAGAAGGCTATTTAAACTACATGGTTCACAAGGAATGACTATTGTCTGCACAGGCACTTATTCAATAAAACACTTGAATAACAACATTAAACCTGGATTTTTATTTTCGTTTAGGTGAGCATTCAGCTTATATAGGATGAACAAACATTTCCAGTTCCCCTTCGGGACACACCCAGCCCTGCTGGCCTTGCTGGTAAAATGTGTAGCAGCTACTGTCATCAATTTGTTCCAGAAATTCCCCAACACACTGGGAAGACTCATAATGGTAGTGGAGGAGGCATACTGACAGAGAGGAAAGCAGCACTGACAAGGCTGGGAGGGGACAAGGGAAAAGATTATGGAAAATCCAAAAACAAGGAAGAAGGATTCAGACTGGGAAAAAGACAAATGAGAGCAAAACAGAGCTTCCAAAGCCCAAGTGAGCATTTACAATATAGTCTAATGTAACTAGTCCTTGCTTCTCATCTCTGCAGCCAATCATCCCTTTTGTGCTTCTTGCAAACATCAAATCAGCAACCCCTTCAATACCAACTGAGAATTGAAACAAAGCCCTCCACTGAGCACTTTCAAGGATACCTTGAGTCCTTGCCAGGGCAGGCTGCCTCGAAGGAAATACATGAACATATGGCCCAGGGCTTCCAAATCATCCCTCCGACTTTGCTCTAAAAGGGAAGACAGATCACACATTACATTTATAGTTAATAAAGCACAAAGGCCCTAAACCAAGCAGCCGTTCAGTAATTCTTCTGCTCTGGAAAAGCTCACTTACGAATTCTTTATCTAAATCAGGGTTAGTATTTTAGAACAAGACAGAAAAACAATGTGTGCTCCTCTACCTAGAAGTAATATTAAGAAAAAAGAGCAAATCCTAAACTAAAATCAAGTCCAAATTACTAAACAGTGAGTAATCACCCCTCACTCAATGTGGTTAGCTTCCTGAAAGTGAGACATCTTAAATGAAATGTTATTTTCAGTGTATGGGCTATAATTATCCTTGGTTACCATCAGAGAAGGTGAGCAGCAGACTAGCAGCTGAAGCTGTTGACACCGTCCATTTTGGGTAGGCCTGTGAAGACACAAGCTGCAGAATGCCTCGCATACATGGCTTGTGCTTTTTATTTGTCATAAAAATTAATACCAAATTTTAACTTCATATAATAGAACATCAATGTATAATCTCTCAGCTCCATTCTATTTATACTATGTACCATAGCTACCTTAAGAAAAATTTAAAACTGATTACTAAGGTGCCCTGTATGGCACTTTACAGGATTCCTGCATTCTGGGAGCATATATATATGTAAGACAAATTGCTGGATTTGTTTTTTTCCTTTATTTTAACTGTAATGATTAAAATGGTAAAGAACTGCAGAATAGTTAATAAAAAGTTATAACTTCATCTCAGAAAATATCCTATACAACCTTTGGTTATCAGACTGAATTTAAGTAGTATACGCGTCCATTTCTAATTTGCCAATTATGGTTCATCTCAGACATTTTATGTGTTGATTTTTCAGAATCAAATTTAGGGCTTTATAAACAAAAAAAAATTACAGCCAAAACTGGTTTGTTTGGCTCAGTGGATAGAGCATCGGCCTGTGGACTGAAGGGTCCCAGATTCGATTCCGGTCAAGGGCATGTACCTTGGTTGCGGGTACATCCCCAGTACGGGGTGTGCAAGAGGCAGCTGATCGATGTTTCTCTCTCATCAATGTTTCCAGCTATCTATCCCTCTGTCTTCCTCTCTGAAAAACTGAATAAAATACATTTAAGTAAATAAATAAAACTGACCTCTGTTTAAAAAAAAATAATAAAAATTACAGAAGGGATACTAAAGGGGCTACCTTAAATTTGACTGAGCTTTCACTGTGCAGAAAGTAAAACCCAGGAGTCAGGGAGGCAGAGGAAAGCTGTTCAACTAACTCAAAATACCACAGCACCACACGTTTAAATCCTGCCACCAATCATGAGAAATTTGAATGAAAAATAGAAAAACAAAGAGAAGGAAAAATTTGCTGTTTGAAGGAGGTTTTTGGAAAGGTGGTCCCTAAAGGCGCCCTGGAAGATACAAAAATAACATAAAATTGAGCACATAAATTGAAATGATCTTAAAAGGAATAAAATAAAACAGCAAAACCAGGAACTTTTGTCTACTCGGCTTGCCTGAAGTTTGCAATAAATTTTATTCGCAATTGAAAACAAAAAGCCAGACAAAAGCAGAGTTTGTTAACAGAACTTAAAGATAAAACCAATTAAAAAAAGAAGCAGGGTCAATCGAGGCCTCCCAGAAATCAGGGCAGATAGAGAAATCACACCCTGCAGTTCCTCACACTACATCACACCTGCTCATCAGCTCTCCATTTTTATATTCACTTCCTGTAACAAGAGGCCCCTTGGTAATAAAAAATTTGCTGGATAAATGGCTGCACTGTAGTTAGTTGAGCACAAGAGGGCGAAACTCTCCACATTTTCAACACTGATCAGCCCTACACAAAAAGACTTTCTTTTCACAGCAAAGACCATTCATTATAAAAATTAGATTAAAAAAAATAATAAAGCCCACTAGAATACGTAATTTTCAAAAACTGAGAACCATGAAAAATAGCTGTGGAATATTGGGTAATAGGAAAAACAATAGTTTTGAGTCAAGTCATCTAGCTCTTGACCCATCCTTCCCATCCATTTAATCCATGTGAAAAACAGCAAGATCAAGTCATCTACTTTGGGCCTAAATTTCCTCATGTGAAAATAAAGTGGTTGACTTAGATAATCTGAAAAGCCATTTTTCCAGCTCAAAAGAGTGAAAACAGGACCCATGCTTTATTTCCATTTCTTTGAACATTTTACATTCAAGTCCTTATTCTCGTACACCCTTGTTTATTCATGCAAGATATTTTCATTTTAAAAAAGAAAGATTTTTAGGACACAAATTTTTTCTACACCAAGGGACACAAATTTTTTCTACACCATAAAGGCTTGATTTCAAACCAATTAGAAAGTTGTGCTTGGTTTATGTGCATCACAACCCTGATTTTAGGTCAAATACATTTTGTTGTAGGAAAGGGGCTGGATTACCCAGTGTTCTTACATTAACTTCAATGATTAAATACTTAATGGGCTACCTTAATCAGGGCTTACTCAGTAGGGAACGTGGGGAATCTCATTTGGCAAAGTCAGGTTTAGGAAGTATTATCTTCCCTCACAAAATTATTGGCAATTCTCTTCAAGCCATTTGAAAATACACTTCCCCTTTTCTCCATTACAACATAAAGGATGCTACACATTTAAAAATTTATGTGTTTATTTCTCAGAATCAAGTTTAGGGCTTTATCATTTCATGATTTCAACTCAATTTGTATCACACTACTTTTGTAATGTCATTTTACTTTTAGCTAATACTAATAGGACAAAGGTCCTTGAGACCCTGGACAGAGTTTAAAGGGCATTTAACAACCTTCTATATGTATTCTCTGTGATACTGTAAGGACATATACAAATATAATACATACCCACTCCTCCCCTTGTCTGTACTTGCCTTTCCTTACAAGAATAATAAAGGCAGAACACAAATTGCTAAGCCCAGGAAGCAGACTCGGAAACAATCATTTCCAGTCTCAGTAAAATCAAGCAATTATGACTTTACTATTTACAATACAGTTTGTCTCCTTGTAAAAAGGAAGAAGGAAATAGTGAACACTATTCAAGAGACCTATGTTACTTATATTACCCATTCAATCCTCAAAGTATCCTTGTAAAGTTTAGTCTTATTTTACAGATAAGTTTCAGGCAGATTAAGAAAATTATTCAAAGTGACACTGGTAATAAGTACCAGAGGACCTTATAGTCTAATTTTAAAGTATGACATTTAGTTACATGAAGATTTCCATGTGGTTACTGAAAAAATCCTGGCAGCATTCATGATTTCAACTAAAGTTGTATCATACAACTTTTACTTTAAAGTAGTCATTTTAAACTTCGCTAATACTACTAACTCATCATCTGAATACCTATACAGTTTAATAAGGCAACTTTGTAGTGATTTATCAGAATCTCCCATGAAAGAACAGTATATAAAACAGATAAAAAGGGAAGCTTTTCTGAAGAAGCTGGCGAGAGGCCTAGGGCCCTGCCGAGTTGGCTTCCACTGTTGTTTAGGCTTCTCTCACAAAAACTCTTCTCTGGACCACCTCCTCTCACAAATAAGGCTTTTGCCTTGATTAAAGCTTTACGAAATATTTGTGTAAACTATCATGAATAAAATGCAAGATTCGTGGAAAAGCAAATATATTTTCACTGAATAAGACATAACCTCTTGCCGAAACCGGTTTGGCTCAATGGATAGAGCGTCGGCTTGGGGACTGAAGGGTCCTGGGTTCGATTCCGGTCAAGGGCATGTACCTTGGTTGCGGGCACATCCCCAGCAGGGGGTGTGCAAGAGGCAGCTGATCGATGACTCTCTCCCATCGATGTTTCTAGCTCTCTATCCCTTTCCCTTCCTCTCTGTACAAAATCAATAAAATATATTTAAAAAAAAAAAGACATAACCTCTTCCTTAAAGAATTATTCATGGAATTATGCATAGTGAACAGAAGCCTCATCCATATTTTAGTGAAGCACTCCTCCCCAAAGCAGGCACCAGCCTGATGTCATATACAAGATCATATTACCAAACTACTCACTAAACTTATTCCAATACTATCACCTTAATATAGTAAGTCTATTACCCTCACTGTGAGAAACTAAACATTTGAAAACATAGCAAGGTTGACCCTGGAACATGAGGTTAAGGTTACCGACTGCCTGCAGTCAAAAATCTTTTTTTTTTTTTAAATATATATTTTATTGATTTTTTTACAGAGAGGAAGGGAGAGAGATAGAGAGTTAGAAACATCAATGAGAGAATCATCGATCAGCTGCCTCTTGCATGCCCCCTATTGGGGATGTGCCCGCAACCAAGGTACATGCCCTTGACCGGAATTGAACCCGGAACCCTTCAGTCCACAGGCTGAAGCTCTATCCACTGAGCCAAACCGGTTTCGGCTGCAGTCAAAAATCTATATATAACTTTTGATTCCCCCAAAAACCTCACTACTAATAACTTACTGTTGACTAGAGGTTTTACCAGTAACATAAATAGTTAATTAACACATAATTATTCTATATGTATTATATGTTGTATTCTTACAATGAAGTAAGCTATAGAAAAGAAATTAAGAAAATATATTTATAGTATTCATAGAAAAAAACATATAACTGGATCTGTGAAGTTAAACCCATGTGTTTTAAGGGTCAACTGTATAAAGAATTAAAATCCTTAAGTTGTCAACAGGATATTCAGGAAGTCATTAACTTACCATCTTAAGTTCTCAAGTAAAAAATCCACTTACCATGTGAAGCAATAAGAATCACAAGTTGTAATGCACAATGGGACAAAGTATTATTAGAATAAAAAGTTGTTTTAAAAAGCTGCCCTGTTCATGGAGCAGGAAATAAACACACCTTTGCCAAGATGCGTGTTGATAGACATATATCTTGCAGTTCCAGTTAAACTTTTGTGCTCCCTGTAAGGTATGTGTTTTTTGGTTTCAGGGTCAATGTATTCCTTAGCCAGTCCAAAGTCTATAATGTGTATAACATGCTCTTTCTTATTGCCTTGCCGGCCAATCAGGAAGTTCTCTGGCTTGACATCTCGATAAATGAGATTCTTTGAGTGCACATATTCCATTCGAGAAAGCTAAAAGAGAAAAAAACAATGTTGTAAATACTCTAAACAAGTCTACTGAAAAAATACATGAAAACATTTGCTTTATCGGCCCAAGGTTTTACTTATTGAAATGAAAATAAAACTTATTTCTTCTTCACCACCCAGAGTCACTTTACTCCTGTACAGCAGAAAATATTTTCAGATACTAATATTCACATAATAAATATCAAGATAAAAGAGTGGGGTAGTACAGTTCGGCTAAGCTTTATAATGTCACAATTTGCAAATGTTACAATTTGCAAATGTTCTTGGTAAATAGAATTAAGTGTTTTATGCTTTTCAGAAAGTAAGCATTTGAGAGGCAAGAAGTAATCAGAGACAACATATCAAACCTTTGAAGACCGTGCCACTGCCATATTCACATCCTGCCCACACCTTCCCATCAGTTGAATAGGATTCCCCAACTCAGCTCTCTTAGTTGTGGAAATAAAGGAGGTGAGGCCCAGAGAAGTTAATTCTGGACTGATATCACAGAGCTAATTAGTAGCAAGGTAAAGGTACAATTTACATGTGAAAGTAAAATTATCCCAAAATAATAATCATAAAATTATTTCAAATTTCATTAAGTTTATTTCTAGCTACATAGCTTTTCTACTTAATACAGAAAAGGAAGCATGGACATTTGAATTTTGGGCTCAAAATTTAAAGTCAACTTTCCAACATTTCCAAGTTTTTGCTGTAAAGTGGAGGAGACCATTACTACCTTAGTCCAATAAAGATGCATTTGCATCCTCCTCTGAGTGTCTAATGAACTTCTCAAAGGAACTGTCTTAACTGCTCAAACTGTTAATGGTGTGCAATTTGGTAGGAGCTGAGTGAGCTGCCTCCTCAGCTATGTCATTCTGTAAGAAGTGAAGGCCAGAGAACTAGGACAGGTTCTTGGTCACACAATTTCAGAATCTTGATTGTTAGGGTGGTGGGTTACCTCTCCAAGATCTTCTTGGATGCAACAGTAAGGGATGAGGGAGGACATGACAAAACCTTACAGTCATGTTTAAATCTATAAATAACACATCTAAGAAATTATTTGCATTTGTACAACTTCACCTAATCACCCTCTTTCTTCCTAACCTAAATTATATGCTTCCACTTCAGATAAGGGCAGGGCATTGTTCTAAAGTGCAAATTCTTAAACAGATCAAAGGGGCAGATTTAAGCCTGACTTTTCTGGGTTAGTCCTTTTTGCCCCGGCCACCAAAAGGGACAAAAGAATGTGTTGAGGGGTAGGAGCTGACTATCTTTTTGCAGAATAGAAATGCCAACTTACCAACTGGATGGCTATCATTAACACAGTCTTCAAAGTAAAAGTTCGGTCACAGAGGTCAAACAAGTCCTCCAAGCTAGGGCCGAGGAGCTCCAGCACCATGGCATTGTATTTCCCACACGGTCCAAAGTAATATACCTGTGGGAGACCTTCACCTGAAAGCAGAGGGGAAATGGGGTGCAGAGTGGGGAATACAAAAACCAAAATATGAGAGCTGTACAAGCACTGAGTAGATATAAAGTACAATTTGTGAGATTTCCATTTTCTTTCATAATCCCTACTGGAGAATTAAATGAGTACAATAGCTTCAAAGGGAATTAATAAAGGGTGGAAACGGCTAAGTCATTGCACAATATGTTCAAATAAACAGTTATTTAATACCAGAGTGCAAAAGGCATCTCTACTGCTATATAAGACCGAGAATGGTTCCTGATCCATTACTTGGTCAGAATGTAAACTATTCTTCCCCCAAGGAAACCCAAAAGTTACTATAGTAATATTATATGTTCAAAAATGGCTTGCTCAAAGGCCAGGCTAACAGACCCTGTTGCATTAGTTGGTTTAATTTGCATTTCCTATGCCTACTGCCAAAGCCCATATGAAGCTGTTTGCAATTGTTTCCTCAAGGACAAATTAAATCTGTGAGGACACAGAGGGTACAGCCTGGCCCTCTTCTCCCACGGAGGCTCCATAGTTTCCTGTTTTCTATTAGCTGGAGCAAAGTCAACAGACAAGGTTTGGTAACTGGTAAGTAATTATAAAAGAAAAGGGGGGGGGGGGGAGGAGAATACAAGGCTAGGTTTCCCTCCCGATTTAAAATTCACAGTTATAAGAAACCAAAATCTAGACTTTCTTACCTAAGTGGCAACTTGATAAGAAAGTGTATTGTAAATATGAGATATACCGTGAATATGTGTTAGATAGCACCATGTGAACAGTGATTATGAATGAAGCCCAGAACTTTAAAAAAATCTGGTCTCACAGAGCGCAAACACTTCCATCTTACACATTTATGTATGCCATAGTCTACAGTTGCATATAATGCAGATTACTGCTTACTTTTGACTACAAGTACCTTTACCCATTCAGTCTGCAACACAGAAGAGGGCCTTCGCCAGAACCTAACTAACCATGATGGCACCCTGATCTTGGACTTCCAGCTTCTGGAACTGTGAGAAATAAATTTCTGTGTTTATAAGCCATCCAGTATATGTCATATTTTGATATAACAGCCCAAATGAACTAAGACAATATCTATTACTTAAAACTTTAACCTACTGTGCCCACCATTCTCGCCAGGATAGGTCTTATATATCTGGAGTTAGATATAATGTATATGTTAAACTATTTAATATACTGTGCCAGTCTATCTTATTCTATCTAATACCAAACAATTTGAGTGTTTTCATAATTCATTCCTACCTCAAATCATCTAAATAGTATATTCTGCTCCTGCTAGTTCCATAAATGTCCATTAAATTGTCTTTGTGCTTATTTTGATTCTTCCTATCTCCAAAAGGAAACAGGATTTAATTTGAAAAAGTCTTTTCTCCCTTTTCAAAAACTCATTTTTTAGTTTATTTAAAATATACAAAACCTAACAGCTATTCCCAATGAGTCCTGCTGAGAAAGCCAAAGCAGATCTCTATCAAGGAGACTTACCGCTTTTATTAACCAAATACATGGTAGATGGTAGTTTGGGGTTCTTTATTTTAAAATATATTTTTATTGATTTTAGAGTGGAAGGAAGGGAGAGGGAGAGAGAAACATCAAATCGCTGCCTCCCCTATGCACCTTGACCAGGGATCGGGCCCACAACCCGAATATGTGATTCCCTGACTGGAAATCAAACCGGCAATCTTTGGGTGCATGGACGATGCTCAACCAAATGAGCCACACCAGCCAGGGCAGGAGATCTTTTAAATTTATATTCTGAATAATAGTTTTTGATGTCACTAAAATTTGGTTTTTCTAATATTTAAGGTATTATATTCTTGAAAAACAGGCTGTAGCAGATTTGTTGTTTGCCTGCCCAATATCTACTTTCTTCTTTCTTTTTTTTTTCTTTCTTTCTTTTTCTTTTTCTTTTTTTTTTAAATATATTTTATTGATTTTCTAGAGAGGAAGGGAGATAGAGAGTTAGAAACATCGATGAGAGAGAGTCATCAATCAGCTGCCTCTTGCACACCTCCCACTGGGGATATGCCCGCAACCAAGGTACATGCCCTTGACCGGAATCGAACCCAGGACCCTTCAGTCCCCAAGCCAGCGTTCTATCCATTAAGCCAAACTGGTCTCGGCTACTCTCTTCTTTCTTAATAGCAGAATTTCTAATTGAATAGCAACCCTCCCAGTTACACATACCTTTCCAGCCTCCCCTTGATAATAGGAATGACAGGTGAGATGGAAGCAGAAATTGTTGAATGAGGTGGTTCTAGAAAAGCTCTTTCAAGGAAGATAATTCAAGTTGGAGCTATGCCCCTTCGACAATGACTGAAGCTCCAGAAGCCAGCTAGAACTATCAGACACTTTAAGGATATAAGTTAGTGCCAAGAGTGGATGAAATAGCCCTGGCTGGGTGGTTCAGTTGGTTGGAGTGTCATTCCATACACCAAAAGGTTGTGGGTTCTATCCCCGGTCTGGGCATATATGGGAGGCAACTGATCAATGTTTCTCTCTCACATCAATGTGTCTCTCTCTCTTCTTTCCTATCTCTAAAATAAAATAAATTTAAAAAAGATAAATAAAAGAAATGGAGCTCTTGATGGCTATGAAGTAACTATACTATGATAGACTTCCCTTCCCTCTGGAATTTTTTTAAAAGTCCTCACCCAATGATATTTTTTCATTGACCTTTGAAGAATGGAAGGGAAGAGAAAGAGAGGGAAAAAAGGAGTGGGAGAGCAGGAAAGAAGGAGGAACACTGATATGAGCAAGACACATCAACTTGCTGCCTCCTACATTCATCCTGACTGGGGCCAGGGACTGACCAGGAATTGAACCTGCAACCCAACCCATTGTTCTGAGGACCAAAATTCTAACCACTGCTTGAAACCACCAGGGCCATTTCTTTTGACCTTTTTTTAATCCAAAAGAAAAATCAATCTCTATACCTTGACTGAGTCACTGCTGATTGGGGTTTTTTTTACAGCCAAATTTAATCATAATTAATAAATATATTATTCCTTAAGTTGGTTAAACTGCATATCTGGGCACAATATCCTCCTTCTGAAGTACAAGCTAAAAGTCAGGCCTGCTTAGAAATATAATACTGACATAATTTCTTAGACTTCCTGCTTAAGGATCAGTTTAAACAAGACAAATGATCACCTTGTTCCTGATAATCGTTAATACGAAACTTAGGCATCTCTCTCTCTTTTTTAAAATTTCTTTATTGATTGTTGTATTACATATATGTCCTTATTTCCCCATTATCCCCCACACCCCCATTCATGACCTTCCCAACCTGTTGACTGTGTCCATTGATTAGATTTATATGCATGTATTTAAGTCCTTTGGTTGACCTCTTCCCCTTTACCCCCACCCTCCCCTACCTTCCCTGAGGTTTGAGGTTTTGATCGATGTTTCTCTGTGTCTGGATCTGTTTTTGTTCATCAGTTTATGTTGCTCATTATATTCCATAAATGAGTGAGATCATGTGATATTTATTTTTCTCTGTCTAGGCATCTCTCGTCATAAATTTATGTTTACAAAAAAATAACAAAAGCATTCTGGGTGATGGCTATAATTTTTAACTATGAGTTATATCACCCATGACTCCTGCCTAGTAACTTCAAAGTTGTGAGAACTTCTTGCTGGTTGCATTACGTTCCTTTTATTAAATACTCTGAGACTTCACAATATCCTGGACAGGCTTTGGGATGCTTAAAACAATTTCTAGATTACTGAGTGGCTTTGAAGCTTTTCTCAAAGAAGAACTAGGCTCAAGAAGCTAATGCAGCAAGAGCTCAAGCCAGTCTTGGGCCAGTATTTGGTTCTGCTACGAACTCTATAAAGAGGAAAGGTTTAGAATGGTTCTCTTTTATGAACACAATTCTGACTATAGCTACCTTCTAAGTTCCTCTTTGTAAAGCCATAGAACCAGTATGAATGAGAGTTGCTTACATGTTATAAGAATAGGTGTGGTTCAAATTCAAATATAAGCTGGTAGTGGTACTCAACTGGAAGTGTGGCTATTAGAAACGTCTCTAAAACTTAAAAAAAAACAGACACTTTGACTTCATTTCAAACCTACTAAAAAGAATTCTAGTAGTGAATGTAAGCATAGCAATTTCAAAGTCCCATACCTACATTCATATCTGGATGTAAAAAAATAACCAAAGGTGATTCTGAAGTGTAAGCTCAGCTGGAAAGCACTGTATCTACAGGATAAAAATAAAGGGCATTGCTTTGTTTTATGACTAACATATTATGAGGACTCAGAAAACACTGATTGAACTTCTCTTTCAGAAGTTCTTTCACATCAGAACAATTAGACACAGTACCTTTTGAAGGGAGTCACTTTGAAGCTATTTAAAAGATTTATTTAGAGTTTCTTAGATATTATAGAAAATGTGCTGCTGAGTATAAAAGTCTTTTTGGGAGCTGGAGCTGTAATTTATTAGAACTACTTGTACAGAAGAACACCCACGCAAGTTCCATTCTGTGACTAGTTTCTTTCATGACTCCCCATAAAGTGGCCAGTGCTGGTGGTGAAATACAGATATAGGCCCACTAAGAGAATTTGTCTGCCCCCTGCCGGTGTGGCTCAGTGGTTGAGCACTGACCTATGAACCAGGAGATCCCAGCTAGATCCCCAGTAGGGGGCATGCAGGAGGCAGCCTATCCATGATTCTCTCTCATCATTGATGTTTCTATCTCATTCTTCCTCTCCCATCCTCTATAAAATCAACAAAAACGTATTTTAAGAAGCAAATAAACAAAAAACCTACAAAAAAGTAAAAGAAAGTCTGTCTCTTTGGTCAGAGATTACAGCACAGTGATTATCACCTGGGTTTTATTTTAATGAGAAATTTTGTATTTTACATTTTATTCTTCTTTTGCAGAACCATCTCTAATCCCCTGCTTAAGAAATTTTTAATTAATTAGCATTATGCTATTAAAACCTTTAATATGTCTGGGTAAAAGGGCAAAG